ATACGGGTGCCAGAATCCAGCCCTAACTAAATAAATATTAGGATGCAGTATTTGGGGAGCGGGGGTTCAGGTATGTTTTGTTAAGTATGACTTAGCTTATTTGCCCTGCCACTCTCTGCTGGAAGTTGCTTTCATAATTCCACTGGCTTCTCAGCCCCCTGAGCCTCTCCAAATAAATAAATCAAATATTAAAATAGGGCGACTCCCATTCTTGTTTCCCACCATGTCCTGTGGCAGCCCCCGGCCTTGCCTCTAAGAAAAACGATCTCTTGGCCAACAGGGCAATGATCTGGAAAGTGGAAGCAAAGTCAGGCCCTAATGGGACTGCAGGAGGGATGTAAATTTCATGAGGGGGTCACCTTGCCAGTTTCAGCATCTGGTGATTCTAATTCAATGCGGCTTCAGTTTTCCCACTGGTCCACCCTCTTCAGTTCACCTTTGATTTTTTTTCTGTCCACTCTCTAATATGGCTTTGGCAAGTAGGAGAGGGCACACACTGTGTTTATAATACCCCTCCTGTTCCCTGGCTGCAGTCATGAAGTGTGTGTGTGGTAAGGATTTTCCCCCTCTGCGTGGGGGAGAAAAGCATTGAAATTACATTTTGTTTATTCTGTTCTTCAGCTTCCTGAAGCCAAAACAAACTCTGTGAAAGAGGTAGCTCAGCCACATAAACACTGTAATTGAAAAACACTTTTGTCTTTTGCAAAAACATTTTCAAGTATTATGAAAACCTCACAACTGCCTTGCTCACCAGTAACAACAGCAGCTCGGATCTAATCAGCAAGTGCCAGCCAAGAACGTGCTGATGGTATTGCACTACAGAGCCAGTGCAACAATGCTGGATTCACTCATTAAAGGTGAAATTCAGTCCTGTGCACAAAGCCAGCATAATGCACCACTGAAGCCCCATGTTAGGCCTCAGAATCACTGCAGGAACCAGAGGGACCAGGTGAAGAATTAAAATTTGTATTAAAGTTAATGTTTAAAGTCAAATTTACACAAGTTAAGAGGGAAGGTACTGTACATCTGGGGTCAGGCTTGGGTTATGAGGGATTACAAGTATTGGTTACAAGGTTCACAAGATACATAAATAGCACATAACCAGCATAGACCCAGATTGGGGTGCAGGAGTTTTTAAAACGTCAGTGGATATGTGATTTCAGGTACGCCACCCATAGAATGTATTAGAGTCCAAGTCAGTATTGGTGTAGTGAATAAGGAGATAGGTGGGGTGCATCCCTTGGTTCATCAGGGAAGGAAGGAAGTGGTTATTTCCCTGACCGGCGGTCTCGATTACTCGACCTGGTATTGACGGTGTCCCGTGATGTGTTCCATGTATACGTCTCTTGACCTGATGGTGTCAGACACCATGAGCTGTCTCATGAGCTGGGCGTAGCGTCAACACTCCGCGCGCGCTCAGCACCGGCTCGTTGTGAGGGTCCCACGCGCCCAGGGCTCCCACGATCAGGGTGTGGATCTGGACCTCATAGCCCTGGGCTCTCAGGGTGTCGACCAGCGGGGTGTATTTCAACACCTTACGAGCTCGGGTCTCGTGGAAGGCCGGTGACCTGTTTTCGAATGGCACCCTGACGTCCACCATGAGGATCGTCTTCTTTTCCGCGTCGGTCATGACGATGTCGGGTCGCAGTCGGCTGGTTACAGACCCAGTATTGCCAACTTGCCAATGCCAAGTAGCAACTGGCTGAAGCCCCCATGTAACTAGCCCGAGTCACGTTAGCGGCTATATCCTGAGAAAACCAGCTAGATACACACAGGACTCAAATAAAGCTCAGTTGGATAATTAAATGACAAACTGAAAAATATTTCCAAACCTACTGGCCACTGACAGGTTGTTACTGGACCGGCTGTTATTGAACAGATAAATGTGTTGTCTTAGAGCAGTGGTTCCCAAACTGGGGTTCGTGAACCCCTGGGGGTTCGCGAAATGTTACAGGGGGTTCTCGGGGAAAAATTCCCTAATGGCGGACAGAGCTATCCTTAGGGAGCACGGGACCAGCAGCCCGGAGCCCCAGGACTTCCAAGAGCTAAGCAGATCAAAGTAAGCACATCTATCACACTGAGGAGATTTAAACTTCAAGACTCCTTATAAGAAATAGAAAGGCAGGTGGATATTTTTTGCTGTTTTTAAAATTAAATAGGCAGCTAGTATTGTTTTTAAAAGTATTATGAAGAACAAGTTTAAGCTTTGTTGTAATGTGTGTTGTTTGCTTGAACTGCTCAAGACCTGAATGCTTGTATAAGAGGAACTCTTTCTATTGGCTTCTTACATACCTTCATGCTGTTTCACATCTGATACTTCTTGATGAAACATAGGAGCCTTGTCTTATAACAGGCTTATTCAAAGTGATACAAGCTACGAAAGTGAGATCTTGGAACAGTGTTGCCGTTTTCATAATGTAATAAAAATACTGTAATGATAAATAATAATTAATAGTGTGTACTAAGCATGTCATAAAAACAAATTTTATATTTCCAAGATCACTGCTTTTATAATTCATACTCAGGTAAAGGAGAAAATCCCTGGAAATATTCATTTTTAGGAGGGGGTTCGTGAGACTTGACATTTTGGTGAAAGGGGTTCACAGGTTGTTAAAGTTTGGGAACCACTGTCTTAGAGGAACTGAAGTAGCTGAAAAATGGAGCTGTAACAACAGGTGTCAAGTTACATAGGTGGGTGTGGTTATGCAAAGGACAAGTTAGAAAGGGGGTGGCTATGCTAATAACTGGGTTAATACTCAGAGCATGCTGAGTTTGAATGAGATATTTCCAGAATACGGCGCAAACTCCAAACCGAGTGCGGGGGCAGTTAGTAAAAAGTGCTGGGACACGTTGCCTCACAAACTTTTTCTCCTGAGCCCCTACTGAACATGACACTGCACAGCCTGTTATTGTTTAGGAATAACTTTAGCCATTACTGCAATTCAGCCCCCTCTGGAGTGGCACACAGCAGTTATTGTGCACCCATGACATTACCTGCTGTAACAATTTGCAGACAAAGAAGTGAGCTATAAGTGAAATTGAAGCTGCAGGGTAGAATGCAAAATTTGGAATTTGGCCAGGACACTGGAGCTTATATAATATCTGTAGTCATACAAAAAGTGCCATGGGATCTCTAATGACGACAAGTGGTCAAGACCTTGGTTTAATGTCTCATCTGAGAGGGAGCTTGCAGTTCAGGAAGACAGTTGGTATCACCTGCTGAGGGTTTCTAGCAAAATGTTTTTGAGTGGAGCCATCTTTAGAAAGCAACATTTTTAGAAGGCTGGAGGTCTGGGGTATTAGCTAGCCTCTGCTGAGTTTCTGATGGGAATTTGAATAGCTCATGAAGGAAGCCAGATTGCTGTAAGTGAGAGTGAGTCACTCTTCACGAAAGGAACATGCAGTGCTGAGACCATTTCACATGAATTTTTTAAAAGAGAAATTTGGGAGTGGCAGGAGGAAAATCACTTTTTCATTAGCCGAAAGTTCTGTTTCTCCTTGTTCAATACGTTAACATCACTACACTGCTGAGTAAAATGCCTTTGTTATAAGCCAAGCTAAGGATTTCTGGCTTAACAAGTTCAACGTGAGGGAGAAGATGAAGAATTGAAGTGCATACAGGGAAAGAAAACATAAGACTTTAATGTCATAGCTCTGGAAAATGAGAAACAAATCTAAGCATAGTTGTGGTTGTGCTGATTACTCTTCCCTCAGTGTGGGCAAGGCAACTGATCTGGCCAGTTTCACTTTTGTTTCTTGTCAGTTTCACTTTCTGCAGCTGTGTTTGGCTTCATAGCATAGGAGGGTGATGTTTACATTTATTGAAATCTACCATGAAAACAAACATTTCAGTCTAGGCTAGGTCTCATAAAAAACCTTTTAAAACAAAATCTAACCTTTGGACCTTGAAATCAGTTGGCAGGATCACTTTAAGAGTTCAATCGAATGGCAAATTCTGCCAAAGAGAGGAGCAGCAGTGCACAATGAACAGAAGGTGCCATAGTAGGCATCAGCAAACATGGGGTCTTCTCTGTGCTCTGCCAGTGACTCACTATGTGACCATGGCAAAGTCACTTCACCTTTCTGTGCCTCCATTTCCCCATCTGTAAAACCGGGATAATAATGTTAACCAATCTGTGTAAACCGCTTTTAGAGGTAGCATTTTCTACCTTTGAAAAATGTCAAGTATGATTTACTAATACTGAGGGGGCAAAATAAAACATACTCTTAGCGTCCTCACTGCCAGTTATTAGAGAGCCCTAGGGAATTTGATGGTCAGGATAGCATCCAGTAAAAGCTGATGACTGCCCTATGGAGAGAGCTTTGCACACTACCCATGTGACAGATTGATATTGGTGACAGGACCACAAACACAGCTGCAAATTTGCCTTATGAAACAGTGCTATACTCTGCAACAATAGTGCCCCCAAACAAAGCAAGTGTCACTGCCGTATTTGTGCCTATTACTCAGGAATACTGCAGGTTTTGTCGTTGTTGTGTTGTTGCTGTTGTTTTTTTAATATACTGGATATTGCAGACTTATAAAGGGAAGGCAGTTGCTCCCCAGAAATTTTCCCCATGTATGTAATTCATTAAAGGAAAACATACACTTAAAATGTACTGTCTTGTGTGACAACTTGAATTATTCACTGAGGGCCTCATGCACTCCACTTTTATGTCAATGTAATGGAAATGAATAGACTTAGTCTAGCCTAAAACGGGAGTAACATGGGGTGAAACAGGAATGGGGAAACAAATGTTATTTTCGACATTAGAAAAGACATTGTAAACACTGGAAAGTAAAAGGGCTAAATTCCATTCTCACTTAACCTCATGTAGCCCCTGGCTACAGTGGAGTAACATGAGTTTAGTGAAAGAAGAATTTGGCCCCAAAGATATGAACTACAGAAAGCCTCCCTCATATTCGATTGTGTCTGTTCTAATAAATGTATCCCCTGGAAAACATTCCTAACTGTATTTTCTCCTTTATTTTGGCTCAGGTCTTGCTCTGGAAGAAGTGCTACTGAAACCAAAGTTGAACATTACAGAAGATCAAATTGTAATCAATGCAGGAGATTTCTTTGCCATAACATGCAGGTGAGGTTTGCTCCAGCACTGTCAGATTTCCCTGGTATTTATTGGCTGCCCTGGCACAAAATAACCCCAGGATCAAAAGGGTACTCCTCAGCCACAGCTGGGGAGCTTTTGCTATATCTTTCCCTGACATGCATTTTCATGTGGAGTAGGATCTTATTTAGTCTAATAGAATGGAGGGGAGAGAACTTCTTCAGATCAATAGGACCCTCTACGTTGCAAATGGGCGCAGTCCAACTCCCACTGAAGTCCATGGTAAGACTTCCCTGGTCTCAGTGAGTGATGGATCATATCAGGAGACAAAGCTCATTTTCGGATACTGAGGATTTTCGGATAAGGATTTGCCTAGCTAAGGTTCAGTTCTGCTGTGTACGAATTCTCTCTTTCACGCCATGTGTGTAAATAAGCGACAGACTTGTTGACCACAGTCGGTAATCAGCCCTCTCTGTGTATACAGGCTGACCCCAAATGCTATCTAGCCTATAAGATGACCATTAAATAAACAGCAGCCAGCATATGTACATTTAAAGACCCATCCTGTCTGAATATATCATATCCTTTAAATGAAAGATAGCCAGGCCTCATAAAACGCAGACTGTCGGTTATAAATTATGGAGACTTTTCACCCATTGACACAGTGTGCAAAACGTGCAGAAAAAGTGCCAAATTTGGGCTCAAGTCTTGCATTCATGGGAAGATAAGCCTTGACAAATCTGGGTTGTAAAGTGTTCACTTGCAGTCGATTGGCAGATGATGGGAGTAGTAAATGCACAGGGAGTTGGGGAATTTTCAGCTTTGGGAAAATATAAGGTTAGCCCCGCTGGATCAGACGAGAGGCCCCGGAGAGGGTGGTATAAATCAGGGTAAGTAATTGTGAATGTGATTTACACAACAAGAGGACAGGCTTGTAGCAAAAATGAATAACCACCAGAAGGGTGTGAGAAGATTTAAAAGCCTTGCACAAGCATGTGAGAAGGTTGCCGTTAAAGCAAGTCATGCACAAGTATTTAGTATTTGTATTGTTGTAGCACCTAGGAGCCCAATCACAGACCAGGACCCCATTGTGCTAAGTGCTGTACAAACACACAACAAAAAGACAACCCTGCTTCCAAACAGTCATTCACAGTCACACACACACACGTTATTTTACACCTTACACATCCTGTTGGTTGTTTTGCCAGCCACACTCACTCCTTCAGCATGTAAATGACACCAGCTTAGATTCATTCTACCACTTCATTGATTTACTAACTTGTAGTTTACACTGATATTTATGTCACCTCTGATTTTGTCCCAATCAGTCCATTTAAATCAGTATTGCCCTTTCTGCCGGCAAATCTACTTGTCCCCATCAAACTCACTAATTTGTGCAATTGTTACACAGCTCAAGGAGATTCTTTCCTGATACCTGCAGCTGGCACTGGCTCATGAGGTCAAAACAACCTTATGATAATATTTATAGCTTGGCAAGCTGCAGACACTGGTGATGACTGCAAAGTTTAAACTGTCCTTTAATATACAGCTGCATTATTTCTTTTCACGATGTTAGGGGTGTGTGAATTTCTACAAGGTGCCCGCGTGCTAATTAAAGAGGTTGGTTCTTGGTTTTGTTTTTTAAATTGGTTGCTCTTCAGTTTATTTGAGTATCACCTCATCCATGTATTGTCAGATGAAAGAATGAATAAATAAATAATGTGCTTTGCAATTCTGCAGTACCTCCACAAGCTCAAACTGCCTTAGCGACATTAAGCCATAAGTCCTCATGGCACCCCCGTGTGTAGAAAAGTGTAATTCTCCATATCCACATGGGGAAAACCAAGGCACAGAGAAGTTGTTACTTGTCTAAGGTAAAGCAACCAGTCTCTGCCACAGCTAGGTACAAAAGCTGGAACTTCTGCCCATGATTCATTTGCCTTAAACATTGAACACTTTCACCAGGTCCTCAGCAGGTGTAAATTAGCCTAGTGCCATGTCTTGCACACACACACACACACACAAAAACCTGTTTAAAGAACTGGCCTAAAACACGTCATCTGAACTCTTTAAAGGGAGCTGGGACGGTTTGGATTGCGGCAAAATAGAGAAGCATGGTTTGCACAATAGCTGTCAGAACTGAGAGTACAATGAAATTCCCTCTGTTCTATGTGGGTCCATCAGCAGCACTAAACCAAGACCAGAACACAAGTCTCCTGACTCCTAGACCCATGCTCTGACCATTAAACCAGGCTGCCTCTAAACCTTGGAGTCACTACTCCACTCTTCCGACATTGGGCTGAAAACCAGGGGCGGCTTTTTTGCCCCCCCCAAGCACAGCAGTCAGGCTGCCTTCGGCGGCATGCCTACGGGAGGTCGGCCAGTCCCGCGGCTTCGGCGTACCCGCCGCTGAATTGCCGCCGAATCCGCGGGACCGGCGGACCTCCTTCAGGCAAGCCGCCAAAGGCTGCCTGACTGCTGCCCTCACAGGGACCGGCAGGGCGCCCCCCGCGGCTTGCCGCCCCAGGCACACGCTTGGAGCGCTGGTGCCTGGAGCCGCCGCTGCTGAAAATGTGCCCCAGTGACAGTGTAATGTAGTGAGTGCAGATGATGAGGGGACAGAGCACAACATGTTGCTCTGCTGTTCCCCTTGAGGCAGAGCATGACAGGCATTGCTGGGAGGCCCTCCTTTGCTAAGGGTGGTCGTTCTGACATGAGCCTGGGAAGAAGGAGTGGGGATGGAGAATTCCTCCGCAGAAAAAGAGTCCTTGGTTTGAACCTCCCCCTAAAAGGCTGGACAATAAGTCTGCCTCTGTCTTGCCTCTGTCCTCTGTGCATTTAAATACAGAAAGCTGGTGTGATGGATGAGGCTGAGGTTTCAGAGTCTCTGTGGTGCAGTGCAGCACATCCAGTGATGGGGGTGAGGCTGCCCCTCAGAGAGGATAGCTACGTGTTTACCCAGCACTCTCATTTACCCACATGCTGGGAAGAGCCTCCAGATTTCAGCCGAGCTCCATCAGCATCTTCAAGAAATCTCCTTCCTTAGAGGTTTTTAAGGTCAGGCTTGACAAAGCCCTGGCTGGGATGATTTAGTTGGGGATTGGTCCTGCTTTGAGCAGGGGGTTGGACTAGATGACCTCCTGAGAATATCCAACCCTGATATCCTATGATTCTATGAAAGTAACAAAGGACAGACAGAGTTGAGAGCCAAGAGGATGTTTGTATTAAGGAGCAGCAGGACCTTGCTGGCAGACACACACTCACTTGTGGCACCCACTACACATGTACGAGGCAACTGACCCAGACCCGCAGAGGAAGATTGTAGAGCAACTCACTAACACCAACTCACAGCAGGATGTAGTAACAATACCTCTGGAGCACGTCTGCCTTTGCATTGAACGGATATGCCCTGACTGGAGTTTTCCCTCTATTGCTACTCACAGTAAGGAAAATCCAGAGGTCATTACTCAGTCCTCCCTTAGGTAAATCCCTCTGAAGTCAATGGAAGTCCACTGAGTAAGGACAGTGTGAACACAGTGTCCGTTTAAAATTAAAGGCCAGACTGTGTCTTGCCTGGTGCAGTCATCAAGGAGAGGGGAAAGGCACAAGGAGCTCCCCATCCTTGCACCCATGGAGAAAGAGAACTGCTTCAAACTAGCACTAACACCGGCCCTAGCTTCTCCACAGGAGTCTGGGGAAGGTTTGGTCCATGACTCACTCCTCCCTCTTCATGCTGATCAAACAGAACTGGTCTCATGCAACCGTAGCAGGGGCCACTCTGGCCTTTGCTCCTCCACAGCTCCTGGAGTGCCTCCCTGAGACACAACGCCTCCAGGATCTCTCCCTGCAGCCGTGCGCCTCTACACATCCCATGAGACAGGACTGTATTACGGACCTGATCCAAAGCTAATTGAAGTCTGTGGAAACACTCCCATTGAATCAGACCCTAATAGCCCTAGGTATTTAGGTGCAGAATGTGGGATGTATCGGGCATCAGAGACAGGACACTACATTAGATGGATGAGACGGTATATCTGCCAGGCTGTGGTAACTCCTGTGTTCTGAGATCAGTGAAGGGCCAAATAGAAATACTGTATCTTATGCAAGCATACATCATAACATCTGAACTCCAACTACTTCCAGACACTCCACAAAATCAAGCTGCAGTCACCGCTAATTAAAGAAAAAGAGGGATGTGGGGTTACGTAAATGGCCTTTTCTCTCCCTTCCTTACCCCCAGTGTTAGGAACAAGAGATTTTAACTTAACTGGTAAAATATGCAGAGAGCCCAACTCAGGAGACGTTTACAAATGTATCTGATGCCTTCTAAAGTTTTTATAGCAATAAATGTAGCCACTTTAAATGAGCTCATGTTCACATTGTTCCTTCAAAATGAAAAGTACATTGTCCCTCCAGCCCGCAGGAAATGGTCTTGCATTTGCTATTGCTTCTCTCAGGAAATGTTCCATGCCACGGGGAGGAGGGCAGGGTAACTCCATCGTAAGCCGTAGCTCCCTCAAGTTGCTGGAAAAGCTAACAGCTCATAAAATACATCACAAAGAGTTTTATCATTCCTCACCACGTGGCACGTTTATGAAAATTGGAATCACATAAATTGGCCACAGAGAACCCGGCCCAAGAAATGTAGATTATTCCACTCATTATGCCTGAGGCCGTGACAGAATCTGTATTTTGTGTTGTGTTGACAGGGGAGCAGCCGCCTTGACCTGGCTATGGGGAAATGAGCCACACAAAGACGTTCCCCACAGGTGGACTGTATCTGAGCACAAGTGTTCAGACAACATACAGCAGACCTGCAGCAGGCTCACAATCAACAAAGCTATAGCCAGCGACACTGGTTACTTCACCTGTGTTTATAATCACCTCCTTTCTAACAAAGACCTCATGGCCAAGACATATGTGTACGTTACAGGTAAGAGCTTTATCCTTCTAGATCTTCTCTCCATGTTACCACATTGGCGGTGTCAGCTAACATTCAATTGTTGGACACACCCATGCTAATTATAGACAGGCAAACCAATTCAGATGCATTAACAGCTCTCCTGACCCTTCCGCCCACCATCACAGCAAATAAAAACAGAATATTCTAAAGAGGTTTTATTGACTTTTTGTTTTTACTTTCATGCCTCCTGGTTTCATGGGATCAGACATTAGAGATGGAAGAGACCTATCTAGTCCAATCCCTAGACCGGATTAGTGCATTGTCCAGTCTAGTTTTATGTGTCACAACTGATGTACACCCCTCATTTCACTACTCCCTTTGAGAGACTATTCCACACCCTGGTGAGCTCACTGGCAGGAAATTTTTCTTAAGACTCAACCTAAATGTTTCCTTTCTTAATTTTATCCCACTGAAACCTCCTTATGCCACCCTAAATAATTCCTCTCCCTCCTAAGTATTTACCCCCAGGAGATATTTGTAGACCACTTTGCCCTCCACCTCAATTAGGCATTACTTGGGTATGTCTACACTGCAGCTGGGAGTGAGCCTCCATGACCCAATAGATGGACACACCTGACGCCCTGGGTCCGAGTTTGGGTGGCTAGCCCGAGTCTCCACCAGTACAGCAGCATCTACATTGCTATTTTTAACATGCTAGCTCAAGCCCCACTAGTACAAGTCTATCTACCCATGCTGGGAATCTGACTTCTACCTCCAGTGTAGACATACGCTAAGCAAGGCTATACCAGTGTAGCTATGAAAATCTTTTTCTCAGTATGGAATTTAAGACGGGGAAGACCAAAAACAACCAACCAAAAGTGTCCCATTTAAGAGGGTCTCCAAACTGAACCCAGCCAGCAGGGTTCCTAGTTCTCTTATTATTCTAGGAGGCAGGCAGGCTGGATTTCTCCCTTTCCCCTTAGGCATCCAAGAAGGATCATAAGGTCTCACAGAAAGCAAACTTACAGTCAGAAAAATCAAAAGTCTCTAGGGCGGAGGTCAGGCGAGTGTGCTAGGGCCTGCAACCCGTAGCAAAGCCTCTGATCCCCTCCCCTTCCCTCTCGCCTTCAGTTTCTATCTCCTATTTATCTAGCACAGCCCCAAGGATGCAGCAAGGTGTTCCTTGATTGCAGCCAGGATGTCTTGGCTGTAAACTCCAGTGTGTTTCTTACAGAGGTTTTGCCTCCCACCCCATTCTCAAAAGCCAATCCTTTCAGCCCGCTGCTCATCTTTGGTCTTCTCTGAACTCCCTCCAGTTGGTCAGTATCTTTGTGGATTCAGCTGCAAGTGCATGCAGACTCTGCAACAGAAGACAACAATGTTCTTCTCTACAGCGAAGTGAATAATTCAGAATGAATAGCATGCTCATTTAATTTAGCCTTTTTCTGCTTGTGGAATATCCACGAGAAGATCATGAGTTCCTCAAACGTATTCCATTCTTCACGTTTTAGTCTACAGATCTCAGATATTCCAAATTCAAATTGAGTTGCTTAGCTGTGATTAGTCAGATAAGTTATATGGTATTGTTTTTGTACCTTACTTGGGTGAGAACTGATGCAGATACTTGCACAGACTAATTTATTATTTAGTTCCCACAAAGATTCATGCAGAAGACTGTGATTCATTCTCCAAGAACATTTGTGCCAGTAAAACTTGGTTGCCCGAATGTTCATGGAAAATGAAGGTAAAAGGGCATGAACATGGCTGAAGCAAGTTTAATTAAAAATTCAAGTGAACATTCACAGAAAATATTTTGCATTATCTGCCCACCTCTATTATTCTCGCATTGTTTCTAACTCTGATGAAACCCAGAAGTCCCAAAATACATGATTTCCAGTCCAAAGAGGTTACGATATGCATAGACATCAAAACCCAATTGCTCAACCATTTGGTATATAACTGCTTGATTCGTTTGGATAATTCTTTCCTCTCTTCTCTGTACTGAAAATAGATATCTTCCACCTTTATTCTTCCTTCCCTGTAAGTCCCTCCTTTTCTTGGAATTTAGCTTCTTAGTGTTGCCTGTTAGTTCCTGTATCCATTTTCTTTTTCCCTTTGTATTTCCCTTCCAGCTCAGTCAGGAATTCGATTTCCTCACTAGCCTATGCCCTGCACTTTATCTGCGCTGATTCATGTGCTGACCTGTTTCCTTTTCTGATTACACGCTCCTCACATGCCTGAGTCTGTATTGACCCAACCCAATAGCTGAACTGCAGGAAATACTGTATTGGAAGCTCGATGCCCTGTCCTGACTCAGTGCCCTCACTGGCTTACAGGGACCCCATTTAATGCAAAATACTTTGACAGAAGCACAAGCAGAAAATCTTGTGGGATCTCCTGGGTCTGTCTGAGCTCTTTCCTTAAGAAAATATTTAAAGCTATAAAACCCTGCCTACAATGGAAGCAATCAGCACACTGCTAATTTATAAACACTACAAGATGGCCTCTCGCTCTCCTGAAACTGGCTGTCCTGGCACCCCTATGAAATCAATGCTAGTTGACTGTTATACTCAAATCACTGAAAAACATCTTCTCGCTCTCAGATGTAATTCACCTGGGTCATGGTTCCTCTGCATTCTCATCTGAAATCCACCTGTGCTATGAAAAGTAAATCCAGTAAACGAAGTAGTAAAGTATAGAGAGTATGGGACAATTCATGCCCTATGGTACATAGATGCACTAGTGAGGCTAGGAAAGGGTGTTGAGAGAGTCTCTTCTCCAGGCCCTACGATATCAGTGCGGAGCGGGATTCCCATCTAGTGCAGAAGAGAACTCTAGAAAAGTAGCTCAGCTAACATACCCACTGGCACCCTAGGGCATGGCCTGACAGGCTGGGGGCGGGGTCAAGCCCCCAGCAAGCTAGCTGTTTTTACGTACCTCTGCATATGTGCCATCTGAAGATGCACGCTTTGTTTCTTCCTGCAATATCTATCTGTCTTGCCCTGCACTGGCAGGATAGCTGTTGGGCCAAGAAAGCTGATTGTCAATGAGGCCCTCTATGTTGTATTGTTCAGACATCCATCACATGGATTATTATCATCCTCATCTTTAGAAGAACGTATATTTCTTAGGCCCTCATCCCTGCGGTATCTGGGCACCATTACGTACATTTAGAAGAACGTCACTTACCTCAAAGTAAAGGAATGAGGCTTCAGGTTACTGCCCCACAGACAGGGGCACACTGAGTTCAGAAGGATCGGCTCTGGGTAGTTTACAGTGTGCAGCATGGACGTTTGTGGGGCTGAGCCAAGTAGGGTGAGAAAACTTTCAGACAAACCCTAGAGGCTGGAGGTTCCGCTGAGATTACAAAGCCATTATTACCAAAGAAGAAGGGGGATGGGATTTTCCCCCTCATTCCTGGCCTGCTGCTTGACACCAAAATGAGAACATGATTGTCTCGGAAGTCCTGCTCATTGGCTATTATTTCCTGGGCTTGCGTCTGTTTTTACAGCCTCCCTGATGGAGTTTCACATCGCTGTGAGAATTTGGCATTTAGCAGCCCTCCCCCTCCCACTGCAATGGAGCCTTGACCTCTGAACATCAGTCAAATTGTACAGGATCTGGTGGCGGTGGGATCAAACTTGATGCCACTTTGAGAGACCAGGCACTAACTGTCAGCTGGATGGGGTGGCTTGGAATCTTGATACTGGACGATTGTTTCTTGACACCTTTTGTGCTTCAAGCTGCAGCTGCAAATTAGCAGGAATAATAATAACAAAAAAGAACCCTCCTGTCATCTGCCACAACTTCTGCTGGAACTAAAAGTTAGCGAAGGGTTAGAATGTAAATATTCTGTGCTTTGTGACATCCCTATGACAGTAATAATATTGGGTCTTGTGTCCTGACAGGGTCTCTAAGCACTTTACAAATGTTACACAACCTAGAGGCAAAGGGGCAACCTCTGGCATGGAATAGAGCAGCTGTTTTAACGTGATTCAGCAGCACTGCAGATGCAGAGAGGCACTGAGATGCAGAGAGGTCAGGGAAGCTACCCAAGGTCACACTATCAGAGCCTTGTATAGAATCCAGGAGTCCCATCCTTATTCCACTAAGTCATGCTGCCCCCAATGAGAAATGTATATGTTTATCCCAAACTTAAGGACACCCTTTGAAATCAGCCTGAAAATAGAGTCTGTTGCCCATCTGTTTGGGAACGTTCATTCGAACTCTAAATTGCTGTTTGAGTCTTGTCTACACACAAAAATCACACTGCTTTTAACTAGGCTAATACAGTGGTTAAAGCAGTACAACCCACCTAGTGTGGCTGCAATATAATGCTGTTTATACCAGTATAGCTTCTTCCAATAAATGCTATCCTAGACATGCACAGTACTGATTTAACTATTTTGTGGGGGTGGGGGGGAATCACACCCTTAACTGAAATAGTTAAATCAGGACAAAAACTGTGTGTAGGTCAGAGCTTAGACACAACAGGGATGGGTGCCATGTAGGGAACTAGGTAGAACAGTATAGAATAGAATAGCGTCTCTTTGTGGCTCTTTATTCTTTGCGACCATTCAGGTGTTTTAGACAATGACGGCTCTACACGTGACTACACCCGTTTTCTTGTGGGAACTAGGGCAATTGTGCTGAGCAACAGTTTTCATTATTCATTATTTTCCTAATAAAAAGTTTCAAGCATCCAATCAAGGAGCAAAATCAATATCATGTGTCTAGGAAACCAGTGACTCATTGTGAACAGCAACTCACTGCCGCAAACCCATTTGCAAACAACCCACTGACAGAAAATCGTTCATTCCAACTACTCCGTGAATTCATATGAATAATTAAGACTCTCCCAGGGAAAGGGAATGACTTGGGAGCAGGACAGAGAACAGGGACGAAAGGCACAACGAATATAATTCACAAAACGTCGTTTGATCAGCTGCATTGATAACCCATGAGCCAGAACGAGCTCGGCAAGGCTTCCAGACATCAGCACAAGCTTTGCAGGGCTGGCAGGTAGAACA